CTCCCTTCCTGCCTGGCTGCTCTCCAGCCCCTCTGGCCCAGCCTGGAGCTGCCGGGGGTTGTTGTGGCCAAAGGGCAGGACCCGGCCCTTGGCCTGCTTGAACCTCATCCCCTTGGAATCAGCCCAACTCTCCAACCTATCCAGGTCCCTCTTCAGAGGGACCCTTCCCTTCTGCCCCAGCATCTCACAGCTTCTTCTCATCTCTGGAAGCTGCTTTATGTCCAGATAATTGCTTTGTGAGCACCAGGAGCTCGGTAATGCCACACAGAGCACAGCAGCTCTTTGCTCACAGACAAAATATCCCTCAGCTCACAGGAGATGCTGGTGGTGATAGAAAACATGGTTTTATTTCAGGATATAAAATGGCTCGCTGTGGAAAACTATTTCGGGCCTGTGTAGAGCGGCTGCGTTAAAGGTCTCTAAAAATCTGTGTATTTTGTGCAGACAAAGGAGTGATTTGTGAGCCTTTGCTGTGAGGCAGCAAAGCATCTGTGCTGCCCACCCAGAGCCCCCGGTGAACGAGTTCTGTGACAGGTTTTCACACATTTCGTGTTTGGTTTGACAGTGAGACGCTGATAGACTGTTACAGGCAGTTCTCATCCACCCTCGGAGCTGGTTGGAACTGGAGCAGAGCCAAAAAAAGCAGCTGCTGGGAGCGACCTTTGTGTGTGAGAGGTGGGAGTGTTGTCATGGAAAGCTGGAGCCGGCAGCCCTGCCGTGGGATGGTTCCTCTGGCCCCTCCCTGTCACCTCCAGGTCCTCCAGGGGAGAAAATGGGTTTTTGAGGAAAACAGTCGTAGAATCTCAGAATGGTTTGGGTTGGAAGGGACATTAAAGCCCATTCATTGCCACCCCCTGCCACGGGCAGGGACACCTTCCACTATCTCAGATTGCTCCAACCTGGCCTTGGGAAAGTCCTCCAGTGCAAGTCAAAGGTCCCATATAAACATTCACATTGGGATTCACCCTGTGGACAATTCCTGGTTCTGACTCTCTGTTCTTATTTATAAATAAATGTGGAATTATTTATAAATAAGAGCTATAAATAAATGTATATTTATTTCTGCACGAGAAACATCGACAGGAGAGAAATGATTTGGCACCTGGGATCGCAAAAGCATTGGATGGAGGGAATCAGAGGAAAACTGAAGGAGAGGGAATTGTGAAGTGTAGAGATACATGATAGAGAGCTGGGGGGTTCACCTGGAGAAGAGAAGGCTCCAGGGAGACCTGGGAGCCCCTTCCAGGGTCTGGAGAGCTGAAGAGGGACTGGGGACAAGGGATGGAGGGACAGGACAAGGGGGAACGGCTTTAAGCTGGAAAAGTGTAGATTTAGGTGGGATATTGGGAAGGAATTCCTGGCTGGGAGGGTTGGGAGGCTCTGGAATAGAATTCCCAGAGAAGCTGTGGCTGCCCCTGGATCCCTGGAAGTGTCCAAGGCCAGGTTGGAGCAACCTGGGCTGGTGGAAGATGTCCCTGCCCATGGCAGGGGGTGGCACTGGATGGGCTTTAAGGTCCTTCCAACCCAAACCATTCCGGAATTCTGTGACGTTTGAGGGGAACAAAGTGGCAGAATTGGGGTAGGAGAGGGCAGAGAGGAGGGATCTGAGTATTAAAGCACAAATGGGGCCAAGTACAAGGAGCTGCTCAGAGTTGTGGAGTTTTTTTCACTGGTGAAGTCAGGAGAAATCCAAGAAATCTGAACAGTAAAGGAGAGAGAAATGATTTTGTACCTGAACATAGGAAATGGCCTGGGAAAGGGAGGGAAGAAATGGCATCTGGGGTGGTCTGTTGGCCATGAGCAGGGATTTGGGATGATCTGTTGGTGCTCCCTGTGTGTCTGGGCGAGCTCAGAGCAGCCCATGGGCCCAGCTGGGGGCTCTCAGCCTGAGGCTCCTGTTGTGCTGCAGCCCCAATTAACCAGCAGAAGTTAATTAGTGACCCCTGGCTGGGGGTGCTGATGGAGCTGGGGTTGGATGAGGCTTTCAGGTGGGTTTTGGGGTGTCCTGGGCAGGATCAGGAGTTGGAGTTGGATGATCCTTGAGGGCTCTTTCCTCCTCAGGATATTCCATGATTCCATTAATGGTTCTGTGATTCCATAAATGACTGCGAAAGCTGAAACCAAAGGGATTTGAGGGATCTGAGAGGGCTCCTGGAGACCCCAGGGCTCACTTCTGCAACCAGTTCACCTCCCTGGCAGTGCTTAAAACCCACATTGTCCCTCCCTGGATCACCCAGTGAAGCTCCTCTCCTTGGCTATTTTTCACCTTTTACATTGTTGTGTTTAAAGGCTTCAGCATAAAATAAATGTAAAGCCACGAAGCTCTGCCCCAAATATAACAAATAAATGTCAGAGTGCTTGGAACCTTAAATTACGGTTTTGAGCAGCTCTTGCATCGAGCAAACTTTATTTTCCATTTAGGAGCCTAAGTAGGAAAGAATATAAACCTCCCAGTTAAATTTAAGGAGAGGGAATTGAAGTGAATCTTGGCCGTAAAACAGTAAACTGACATGGAAATTAAAACTTTTTATAGGTTAATTTATAGGGGTAAAAGATTTTATGCCTTCTCAGTCCCTGTGATAAAGAACAAAGCTCCTGTCATGAGGAACTGGGAGGACTGCAGTGCTTTGAATCACAAAGTGATTGCATAAATCTGTCTCAGAGATTCACTTTTCCAGTATTTTTAAGGAATGAACACCAAAAATAAGGAGAGCATAGCAAGGGGTCAGTTTTGGTTCAGAGCTGTGCAGCAGGATATGGGGATTATGTGGATGATTGTGATTGGATTTATTGCTGTGGCCAATAATAACTCATATTATGCGAGTTACATATAATATAATTATGTTAGATATAATTATATAATAATTATGTTATTTTTAAATATATATCTATTATCGTAAAGTATTATGGTGCCATCAGGTTGGGGTCCCTCCTGGTGGGTCAGTGACACCCCCTCACTGTCTGAACATCTGAGACGAGCCCAGGGGGGGCTCAGCTCACCCAGTCCCAGACTTAGTCCCAGTCTGTGTCCCAGGTTGGGCTGGGAACATCCCCCTTTCCAGTCCTGGGCCTTGCAGAATTCCCAGTCCCAAAGCCCCAGAGCCTCAGGCACAGGGTGGGAGTGTTGGGGTGTCCTGGGCAGGGCCAGGGCTTGGATTCCATGATCCTGGTGGGATCAGCTCAGGATATTCCATGAGCTGTGGAGCTCCTTTAGGATTTTCTCTCTGGATTTGACCAGATCTCAGCACTTTTTGCTCACCCATCCCAAAGTGAGTGTCCCCTGTCTTTGGCCTGGATGGACCTGCAGGTGTCCCAGGGCCCTGGAGGGAAAGGGAGAAGGTCTGGGGAGGGAGGGGAGCACACAAGGGAAGACCCAACTACCTTTTGTGTCATCCCAGAAGCTCCTCTACATCATATTTAGAGCCTGGCCTGGAAGGTAAAAATCTGTCTGAAATCCCGTGGAAGAATCATGGAATCACAGAATGGGTTTGGGTTGGAAGGGACCTCAAAAACCACCTTGTTCCACCCCCTGCCACAGGCAGGGACACCTTCCACCTGCCCAGGTTGCTCCAAACCCCATCCAGCCTGGCCTTGGACGCTCCCAGGGAAGAAGCACAAGCTGAATCCCACAGGGACACTCGGGACAGGCCTTATAGGATCATATTTCCATGCCCTAGTTGAGTCTTTGGTGTACCCCTGAGCCCCTCTATTCTCCAGCTAAATGCAGTATTTTTAACAGCTTTGTAAAGCCACAGACACGCAGACAATGGGGTTTTTTCTGGGATATTGATATGGGATTCTGATCATCTGGCAGCTCCTGCTCCGTGCTGTGCCAACACTCCTCTGATTTGTTCTGAGTGTGTGGCCAGGCTGGCTGATGGCAAACCCCATCTCTGAGGGCCATAAACCACGCTGCCAAATGCACAGTTTAATTAAATGCTGCCTCTTGTCTTTGTCTGGGGTCCTTTTGTCTGGAAACAGCGTTTTTCATTGTCGGGGAAAATTTGACTTTAAACCCCATCGACGGGGGCTGTGCCTGCTGCCAAGGAGCAGGAAAGGGAGATGTACTTTGGGAGGAGGGGAAGAACTTTCTTCTGGAGCTGGAAACTTTCCTCTGGAGCTGGAAATCTCCCCTCATCAGTGTCAGGGACAAAAATTTGTCAGAGGGACAATTACTTGGAACACTGTTTTCAGACAACGGGGTAAATTATGGAAAAACTTGCTGTTTGCCCCATTATTCCCTGCTGCATTCATATCCACCTTGTTGTAGTAATTAACCTGCAGTAATTAACCTGCAGCATCTCTTGGTAATAAAATACCGGTGGAGTGTTTTAACCCTTGTGGTTATTTGGTGCTCCCAGCACAGACCTGTCACCTGGCTCAGGACACCCCAGGGAGGCTGTAAATACACCCCTTTTATCCCAGCTTTTCCCTGCAGGGTCAGGAACCTCTGGGAATGCTCAGCTCAGCAAAAGAATTAGATAAAATTGGATATTAGGAGAAGTTCCTTCATGGAAAGGGTTCAGGGCAGGGGTGGAGCTCCCATCCCTGCAGGGATTTCAAAGCCCTGTGGATGTGGCACTTGGGGACGTGGGGTGGCCTTGGCAGTGCTGGGGATGGTTGGACTCGATAAAATCAGAGTTCTTTTCCAACTTTAATGATCCCACAGGATTCTCTGTGTCCATGGCAAGGCTGAGGGACCTTTTCCTCCGTGGAAAGCCACGTATTACAGTGGCATAGTGGTGAAGCTGCTCTGGAGACACCAGGTGACAACAGGGCCCAAAATTAGCGCCTTTGATATTTTTCAGCTCCTTCTGAAGAGAAAAAGCCTTCACAGCTCACACCCCCTCTGTGTCCACCCTCAAGCACATGGGAATTGGTTTTTTTACCCCACAGAAAGTGGTTGGGAATCATTCCAAGCCCCTCCAGGTTGTTCAGTGCCGGGCCAAACTCAACTGGACTCCATCACCTTGGAGGGCTTTTCCAACCTTAATGATTCTTTGGGATTCTGTGTGTCCATGGCCAAGGCTGAGGGACCTTTTCCTCTGTGCAAGGGCAGAGCAGAGAATCCCGTGTGTGGTGTGATGTCTGGTGGCATCGGGCACCTTCTCTGGGTGCTGTGCCTCCAGCTGGTGATTTACAGGATCATCTTCCAGTGGGGAATGTCTCTGGCTCCTCTGTGTTTTCCTGCAATCTGTGCTCCTGTGGATGCTTAGTCTTTTCTTACCTCAGGTGGCAGGAGTTTCTTGGAGAAACACCCCAAATCTCCTTAAAGCTTTAAATCCATTTAATCCTGCTCTCTGCTTCAGGAATACCAGACTTAAATCAGCCACACATTCCATTTAGCACAGGGATGAAGCTGCTCTGGAGACACCAGGTGACAACAGGGCCCAAAAATTAGCACCTCTGATATTTTTCAGCTCCTTCTGAAAAGCCTTCACAGCTCACACCCCCTCTGTGTCCACCCTCAAGCACAGAGGAACAGGTGCCTTCATTTACTGAAAAATGCTTTTTGTTCTGGTTGTTTTAACTTGTTTTTTGCACCACAGAAGGTGGTCAAGAATCATTCCGAGCCCCTCCAGGTAGTTCAGTGCCGTGGCCGACACAAGTGAAGGTTTTCCACTCATCACCCTCTGATCTTGATCTACTTCTTCTTCATTGCTCTGCAGCTCATCTTTGAAGGGATCCGTGGCCCTGGCATCGAAGGGGACATTGCCATCGACGACGTGTCCATTGTGGAAGGGGAGTGCATGAAGTCAGACCAACCGGCCAACAGTAAGTGCTGCTTCTCCACACAAGGGGCAGAAAGGTCCTCAGGGGTTGATTTATCTTAGACAACTCCCAAAATAGATTTTTTTTTTCCGGAAGAACAATACCTGGTTTGGTTGGAGAGGCTTAAATTGTAGTGTTTTCCTTGAAAATACTTTTTTCAGAGGGAAAAGTGCTGGCTGAGAGGAGATATCAGTGAAAGGGTGTTGAGCAGAGAGAGCAGTGAGTGACTCTCCATGGTGGGCTGGGCAGCCACAATTTTTTCCAGGAGAACAATACCTGGTTTGGTTGGAGAGGCTTAAATTGCAGTGTTTTCCTTGGAAATGGCTTTGTTCAGGTAGTGGGTGAGCAGAGATGCCAGTGAAAGCCTGGTGGGTGTTGGGCAGAGAGAGCAGTGTGTGACTCTCCATGGTGGGTTGGGCTGGGCAGCCACAATTTTTTCCAGAACAATACCTGGTTTGGTTGGAGAGGCTTAAATTGGAATGTTTTCCTTGGAAATGCTTTTTTCAGAGGGAAAAACGCTGTCTGAGCAGAGATGTCAGTGAAAGGGTGTTGGGCAGAGAGAGTTGTGGGTGACTCTCCATGGTGGGCTGGGATGGGCAACCACAGTTTAGTTGTGGGGTGGATTTTCATCCCAATATCTCTGCCCTCTTTAGTTGTGGAGTAGATTTTCACCCCAGTGCCTCTGCCCTGTTTAGTTGTGAGGTGGATTTTCACCCCAATATTTCTGCCCTGTTTAATTGTGAGGTGGATTT